ACATAAAACAATACAAAGTAGACACTTAAGTTTTCTATAGATAGATAATCTATGTCTGTTGCGTCAAGTAGATTCGCTGCTGTTGATGTTTGCGGGACGTGCGCCAGAAAGGAGACAGAGAGACGGCATGAACCCCGCATCCGTTCTTTTCTGTATTTTTAAAAGGCATGACATTTGTAGTCATTTATAATGTAGCCTATACACAAATAAAAAATGGACACTTTACCGTTTCGGATGATGCACTCTTGTCTTATCTATGACCATAAATAGAGTATTCCTGTTTCCACTGCTGAGGAAAAATTCCCATGTAATTGCGCGCCGGGTCTCGCGTGCGCGCACAATAGTCAGTTCTAGCAACTGCTACTGTAGATTTGACATTAGAAGTCTGATCATTATCAAAATAAAAGTGCATAGTGACAGGGCCGTACCCACAACTGAGGTTGCAAGGATGCACATCGCGATGATACTGACCTTCTCGTCTGAGGTGCTTCAGCAGACTAACAACGATAGCTCGTCAATGTCAAAATGTTTGAGTCGGAGTGAACTCGAAGTTCCCCGCACGACGTTTCAGTCAACGGTCATAAAGTGCGAGATAAGATGTAGCCTTAATTAACATAAACTAAACAGCTGTTTTAGATAAAAGTTTTAAAAAACGACTGAAACAATCAGTTTGCAAAGTATTAATCAAGCTCAACTTTAAAAAAGGAAAAAGCAGGTCAATAGAAACATACTGTGCCCATGAGATTAACATTATGGATTCATATATTTAACATATACTGTATGTTTTTTTTAGCTAATTACAGTAGCTCAAATTAACAACGCACGCACCTATTAAACATAATGCCATTATCATTGTATTTATAGGCTTATGGGCTTTATTTGTGTGCAGAATAGGCCTAATTATTGAAACATTTCTCTTTTAAGGCCATTCCTGATTGGAATATGTGATTGTGTTTCGTGACATCTTGACAAAAAAAAAAAAAAAATGTATGCCACTGACTGACATGCTTCTACTAAATCTATAGTTATCCAATTGTGGGGCCTTAAAACACCTTAAAATGCACATGTGTAGATCAAGAACATCAAAAATTCCTAAGTGAGGGATCCTAACTAAGTGATTCCTAGCAAGATCACTTTCGTTACCTCAGTAGGCTATTTAGAAATTCCTGCATAGTACCCTGGGTGGAGACCATTCATTTTGTGCAAAAATATTTCATTTGCCGCTCACACATTAACTTTGTGCTCAATAACTGTTATAAATATGAGGGGGGTCCTTGGAATTTTTTTTCCCCTGAAAGGGGTCCCTGGCACCAAAATGTTTGAGAACCCCTGCTATAGGGAACACAATCCTGATCCTGATTAGACCTAGTTTCAAATCTGCCTTCATTGTTTGCTTAAACAAAACAAAAAAAAAACTAAAAAAGGGGAAATGTCTTGTAAAGTATACAGTAAAGAAATAAATATCCTGTTATATTTACTGTCAAATGTGGTTTGCAAAAATTCTCTCTAAAAAGTAACAATTTTTCAGGCTTTTTTCAGGGATGCCAATTTGGTCACAAATTATATTTTAAATTTCACCCAGTATTACTCATATATACAGAAGAATTACAATTCATCGTGCTTTCATGAAACGTGCCATGATTAATAACTTCATAACGAAAATAAGAAGAACTTTAAATATAAATAAAATCAAATGTTATTATAACACATCACTTCTTTTCATTCTTCATGTTACTGTTTATTAATGTAAAACGGGGATTCCCAAACTCAGAACCCCTTCACATCAAACACCCCTGAGTTTTTAAGTTATTATTTTAATAATTTAACAACACATTTGCACGTTCACGGTTCTGTGATGTCGGTTAATGTCAGGCAGGTAAATATTTTTTATTTTTGTGAGTGATTTTCTTTTAATTTATTCATTTTAATTTAAAATGATGATTTTATCTATCCCTGGTTTGTATGAAAAAATATATATTATAATATTTTAGTGTAAAATTTGTGTCTTGTTGAATATACAGTAAGGCTGATTTTGCACTGTTTTGTAATACTTCCCAAAACAATTTTTATAATAGTTTCCAGTGAAAATGACACTTTTTGTCAATGGACTTACAGTTAACCAATAACAGATTTTGTTCATTAAAATGATTAATATGTGCCACTGCTGTACCCGTTTGCTAGAAGTCCAGACTTCTCCTTTCTCCAGGACCATGAATGGAGTGTTATTCGGCAGAGACTGGAAAAAAGCCTCGGAGTCGACCACTGTCCCATCATCCTCCAGCACCAGTGTGAGCATCTGACACGCCATCACGAAGGAACTGGCCACCTGCAGAGAGAGAGAGAGAGAGAGAGAGAGAGAGAGAGAGAGAGAGAGAGAGACTTCATATGAATGCTGCAAGTACACTGTAAAAAATGAATCACAGGTCTTGTAATTTTCATTAAAAACGTAAATTAAGGTGCTCATTAGAAATATTGTGTCTATTTTATTAAGAAAATTGTGGTTCAGTGTTGTATAGAACATTTTGAGAACATTTCACTAATAAAACCAAGAGATACATTCTCCTACACTCTAAAAATAACCCAATTTTGAGTGAAATATGGACATTGGCTTAAATTTAAATTACATTTTTAACCCTATCTTTGAGTTTGTCCATATTTGACGCAAAAAATGGGTTAAAACAACCCGGTATTGTATGTTTTTAAAGGAAACGCACAATTTTGAGGCTTGAATTGAGGAACTGATTAAGCTGATAACATTAAGATAATGGGGCTACCAATTTATTTTAAGAGAATTCCCTCAATAATGCGGTTTTACTTAGAGTAGGCCTTATAGTAAGCTTGCGAAGAACTGCATGTGTTGACAATTTGAAACTTTGAGTAAAAACTTATTGAAAAACTTAACATAAAACTTATGTTATTATGCCAATACAGTAATAAGTTTGGTAATGTACTTTGCTAGGGGCATATGGTCTTTTAATATTGCAATACATATAACTCAAATTCAAATATAATCAGGTTTTTTTTCTAATCACTCTAATTCAGACACTTTTGGGAGTCAACTTAAAATAAATAAATAAATCAACAAACCAAGCCTTACCTACTCAAAAATAGGCTATTATCTGTAATATTGTTACCATATTTTTTATTTTATTTGATTATTTTTCTCCAGTATCTCCAATAAGATCTGGTTATAGACAGAATGATTATAGTGAGCAGAAGAGACGGCTGTGTAATCGAACCTGCTGCCGGAGGTCTCCGAGAGAGGTGCTCGTGAAGCCTGTCCTCCTGCGCCGGTTCTGCGAGCACACCCTGTACGGACGGGCCTGGGGAGGAGGAAGCATCCGCTGGGCAAGACACGCCATCGACGACACAGGCCTGGGGAGGTTGAGTACAGTTAAATCAGACACTTTGAATATGACAGAGTTTGAGGTATAGAAATGATTGTTATAACTTCAGGACCTGCAACCTCAGGACAGTCTATCGTTTCTGGACTCAGACTGCATGGCTACAGCTTGTCTGAAAACCAGAAATAACAGCTTTCTGTAAGGATTTATTGGTGACCTGGGCAATTTGCCATTGACCCAACAGTTTGGTTTGTTAGAGTGAGATATGGTTATATAAACAGGAAATCAAATGTTTGACAATGCTTGACAAAACACAGCAGATAGTAGTACAGATCTACTGTGAAATAAAACAGCTCCTAATATAAAATGGTCACATTTTAATTATTCGATTTGTGCATTTAAGAATTGCATAAAATCGTTTACAGGAAAGTAATTATATGTTATGTAAACTAATTCTGCTGTAAAGCAGCTCTAAAAAAGACAATAGAGTCATTATTCAGCTAGATAATACTATTAAAAATACTTTACAATAAGGGTCAATTCATTACATTAGATATAAACTAACACTAATAAATATATAACAGCGTTTATTCATTTAGAAATATATTCTGTTCATTTGTTTTTTAAAACATTAGACACATTTAAATTGAAAAAATACCATGTTGAAGTTAATATAGCCAAGATTAATAAATGCTGTAAACACTCACCTAAAGGATTATTAGGAACACGATACTAATACTGTGTTTGACCCCCTTTTGCCTTAATTCTACGTGGCATTGATTCAACAAGGTGCTGAAAGCATTCTTTAGAGATGTTGGTCCATATTGATAGGATGACCCATGTTGCAGTTGATGGAGATTTGTGGGATGCACATCCAGGGCACGAAGCTCCCGTTCCACCACATCCCAAAGATGCTCTATTGGGTTGAGATCTGGTGACTGTGGGGGCCATTTTAGTACAGTCAACTCATTGACATGATCAAGAAACCAATTTGAAATGATTCGAGCTTTGTGACATGGTGCATTATCCTGCTGGAAGCAGCCATCAGAGGATGGGGACATGGTGGCCATAAAGGGATGGACATGGTCAGAGACAATGCTCAGGTAGGCCGTGGCATTTAAACGATGCCCAATTGGCACTAAGGGGCCTAAAGTGTGCCAAGAAAACATCCCCCACACCATTACACCACCACCAGCCTGCACAGTGGTAACAAGGCATGATGGATCCATTTTCTCATTCTGTTTACGCCAAATTCTGACTCTACCATCAGAAATCGAGACTCATCAGACCAGGCAACATTTTTCCAGTCTTCAACTGTCCAATTTTGGTGAGCTCTTGCAAATTGTCGCCTCTTTTTCCTATTTGTAGTGGAGATGAGTGGTACCCGGTGGGGTCTTCTGCTGTTGTAGCCCATCCGCCTCAAGGTTGTGTGTGTTGTGGCTTCACAAATGCTTTGCTGCATACCTCGGTTGTAACGAGTGGTTACTCCTCTGACCTCTCGCATCAACAAGGCATTTTCGCCCACAGGACTGCCGCATACTGGATGTTTTTCCCTTTTCACACCATTCTTTGTAAACCCTAGAAATGGTTTGTGTGTGAAAATCCCAGTAACTGAGCAGATTGTGAAATACTCAGACACCAACAACCATGCCACGCTCAAAATTGCTTAAATCACCTTTCACATTCAGTTTGGAGTTCAGGAGATTGTCTTGACCAGGACCACAATCCTAAATGCATTGAAGCAACTGCCATTTGATTGGTTGATTAGATAATAAGGAGAAATTGAATAGATGTTCCCAATAATCCTTTAGGTGTATGTGATGCAGCTAATGCATTAACTAATGTTAACAAATTGAACCTTAAAGTGTTACTATAAGATTTACAATAAAACCAAACTTTCATAGAGAATATTTTCATAAATGACCAAATATCCTGTTGCTCTCCAACATTAAAGCCTGAAAATGATTATTTATAAAGCCCAAATAGTCTTACCTCATTAAAGATGAAGGAAGTAATGTTTTAGCGTACTCCATGCTTCACAGAAACACTGCGCTGTAGCCGAAGAGAGTCTATAATCTCAGCCGAACGGGGCGACAGGAGGAGTTTGTGTGGCTGGACTGATGTAATGCTCAAGTGTGACCAGTGCTTGCTGCAGGGAGTAGGGGTTTAACCCCAGTTTACTAGCCGAATCATCCTAATCATCCCCATATATACTGACTGACTTGGGCCTGTCGCCTTTTTTGCCTTTCTTTGCCACCATTGGCTTTTGGCTTTTGTTTAATTTTATATTTAACAACATTATTACAACATTCACTATTCAACTTTCATTCAACTTTCATGTTATCTCTGTAAAGCTGCTTGTAAAAAACGCTATAGCCTATAAATAAAGGTGACTTGACTTGGGCATTCTGGAGCAAAATGGCTGCCGTCGCAAACAATACTGGTCCAGAAGCACTTCCTGTTTCAGTTTGTCACTGTTTTCTTTATTCACATGTAAAGAAAAAATCTTAAAGATGTTTGTTTAACTTTTTGATTCAGTTTTATATGTTCTGTTGGTTGTATTTTATCCCAGCTTTTATGTTGTGTTAAACTGAAACAGGAAGTGCTTCTGGACAAGTTTTGTTTACATCTTGCAAAATGGTCTTTAGAGCCGCATGCATGGAGGGTTTCCTTCAAAAGCAGAGATAAAAATCATATCCAGGCCCTGGAGAAGCTTGTTGTTTTGTGTTCTGTGACTGTCGAGTGCCGTCATGGCGGCAGATCGTCTCAGCTTAGAGCACAAACAGGTGGCCAATGACATTACACTTTCTGCAATCACAGCAGTCATGGCTTAGATTGGATTGTTAGGATCAGTCGCGATAAATGTAATTATTTGTATAGGATGAGCAGAAGTAAATGCAGAACGCTTTCTGATCACCTACACACATGAGGAGAGGACCATGCACTTGCCGGCCCACAATCCTCTGCTCTACTCTGTGTAGGGGAGACCGGGTATAATTATCTGGATGATTATTTATTTATACACTTTTTATTCATAAGTATGCAGTGTTATAACTACATCTCTGACGTTTATAGCAAAACAAACCGTTTGAAAATCGGTAGAAAATTGAGCAAGTTATGGTCATTTAAATAGTACATGTACCATTAACACAATGTTACGAGTGAGTGAGCTGCCTGTGACAAGATGGCCGCCAGGTGCAGACGTCGACCTCCATTGGCCAGCAGTGTGGACGACATATCTAGCCTTTATATAGATATCTATGGTCCCATGTACCTTTGCAGCTGATCTAAATGACTTGCCCTTCTGTAAGAGCATTCTGTAAAAATATTAAAAACCAATCAGTTGTATGATAGGGGATGGTTATAACACTTTTTCAAGAAGTGTTACAACCCACCCCACCCCTGTCAGTCACTATTTAGCTAGCTGTATTAGCATAGCCTACTGGTTTGGAATCGGCAGGGGAAAACTGTATCACATGTTGCCTAAGAAACTACATTTTAATATAATATAAGTCAAACTTAAGTCCTATCTTATCCCTAAGTGGCAGAAATGGTGGTGTTACAACTCTCTCCATGTTACAACCATACCCGGTCTTCCTAGATAGTGGAAGAGCTAGCAGAATAGCGCCAGCTGAAAGCAGAGACCTAACGCGCCAGAGATCAACTAGTTTGGCAAAATATGTATTTTTTCAGTAAGAGGGAGAAAAAAGTAACCCGAACAGGAGCAGGAACAGACTAGGACAGAGTGTAAACTGGCCTATAATGTGTGTGTTTTTAATAAGAAAAAAGTATTTGCCACATGTATGGTCAATCATATACTGCATAAGACTTTTAAAGAGAGAATGTCCGTTTGGAAATGTAATGGATGGAAAGGATCCTGTGCTGGCAGGGAGACGTTCCTGATGACTTCCACCATAAAGAGATGTCCTGGAATGAGGTGAAACATCTAGAGTAGAGAAAAGGAAGGATAATCCTTTTTTATTAGGACAGGGCAAATGAACAAGTATTTTTATTTTTATTTTTTTATTTTATTTTTTTTAAGAAATGAATACTTTTATTCTGCAAGGACACATTAAATTTACCACACGGTCAAAAGTGATAGTAAAGAAAAAATATGTTACAAAAGCTTTCCATTTCTTTCTTTCCAGGCAATAATACTGAGTCTTCAGACAAACCGTGGTATAAAATAATTTAGTGCTCGATTGAATAAAACCAAAAATATGTTTTGGTTATTTGAGTTGTCTTTCATTTGTTGTCCCTACAAGAGGGCAGTGCACTGTAGTGTAGTTCTGCTGCCATCTAGTGTTGGTTTGAATCATGGATTTGAGTCTTGTTTTCTCTAACAGTGCTATTGTATTTTTGTTTCAAACGCCTATAGTTCAAACCCTTCTTAAATAAGAATACTATTTGTAAATTCTTTCCTGCGAGCTAAAATTCAGTCAACTAATGAAGATGACCTGGCAAACCCTCCACCCAGAAGGCGGCAGTATTGTTTCTGAACATATCCTTTTCCGCATTTAATTTACCGAGTGAGAAAGGCATGACGTCTGATTGGCTGATACTCGATTTAGTGGGCGGAGTCAGATGAACTGACAGAAGATTGACAGCAGCTCCGACCATCAGATTGATAACGTTATTGTGAACATACCGGTAAACTTTGATCAGTGCTCGTCAGGGTTATGGCTGCTCTGATCAAACTCGTCTCGCCGTGGAGATTTCACCGATTCACTCGGTAAGAGCTTTATTACAGACATGAAAATGAGCGTTTGTTTCGAGCAGCTTCACACCCTAGACGCTTTTATTTTTATAATCTGCTGATGTACGTTAACGTTACTTATATCATTGTTGTGGACATAACTGTGTAAATCATCTTGTGTTTTTTTGCCATAGAAATTGTCCTGTACCTTGTGTTCCCTCTGACCTTTGTGTCACATCTTCACCTCTCACACACTTCACACACAAGCGCGCGCACGCACACACTGATAGTGCGCGCGCATTCATATTGGACCCTGAAGTGTAGCTCTGGCTGTTTTTTTAATCAGACTGTGCTCTGTTTATTATGTATGTCCAGAGCTGCATTGATACCGTGTGTTCAGTTGCACAGCACCGCTTCAGTTATGGCAGCTTCAGTGGAAGATTTCAACAGGGCCAAAGAAAAACTGGGCACTTTGAAGGAAGATCCAGGGAATCAAGTCAAACTGAAGATCTATGCGCTGTTTAAACAGGTGAGAAACTGACCAATAAAGTCCTGCTCTTGATTGACATAGCTTAAAGGAGTAGTTTACTTTAAAAAAAAAAAAAAAACTTTTGCTGATAATTTACTCACCCCCATGTCTTCCAAGATGTCCACGTCTTCCTTTCTTCAGTCGAAAAGAAATTAAGGTTTTTGATGAAAACGTTCCCGGATTTTCTCCATATAATGGACTTCAGTGGGAACCAAATGGTTCAAGGTCCAAAAGACACTTTCAGTACAAACTGTTCAAAGGGCTTTAAACGACACCAGACGATGAATGAGGGTCTTATCAAGGACCCTTCGAGTCATGACTCGAAAAAAAGATTTTGATGAACGAATTTGAACAGAAGAGTCACGAACAGAGCAGAGCAAGGCGAGCATTTGAGCTTATAAAACTTAAACTTTTTAATTTATTTTTTAAATGACCGCTCGTTTCGCTAGATAAGACCCTTTTAAAGCCCTTTGAAGCTGCACTGAAACTCTCATTTGACAGTGATAAAAAATAAAAAACTGGATCACACCTGAGACCTCTGTGCCCATGATTGTCCACGAACGAACAATTAAGGGCTGTTACGTGAATAGGGCATGAGGCTAGCTAGATTAAAATAGACCCACATCATCACACACCATTCACCATGCCTAGAGATTGACATGGGGTACTTTCCATAAGATCATCTTTCACTGCAAATCAAACCAGCTATTAGGCTAACTGAAGTAAAACCATGCCAATCTCTAGGTGTGGTGAATGGTGTGTGATGATGTGGGGATATTTTAATCCCAAAGGCCAAGGGAACTTTATCAGGATGCATATTATCCTGGATCCATGAAATAACTGGCTTTTAAAAATAAAAATCTGCCTGACTCTATGGGAATTTAACATAGGGGTGTCCTGACTTATTCACCCTGTATTTTAAGGAAAAACATTTATTTATTTATGATACATTATTTATTCACAAAGAAAATTTGTGTCCTTAAAGGTTGGAGTTTTCATCATTTTTCTAATTAAGGCATTAAGATCAATATCCAAAAGATGATTTGTTTTATTCCTCTTTTTAGGCAACTTTAGCATGGGTGTCCAAACGTATTCACATCACTGTGTATATTCACATAGATGATTTAAAATTGTAATAATATTTCACAAAAGTGCTGTATTTTCAATCAACTAAATGCAGCCTCGGTGAGCATAAGAGATGTTTTCAAATGTTACCCAGACTTGTGAATGGTTTGGATTTGCTGTTGACGCATCATGGATGTGACAGAAGGTGTCAGACCAATCCATCAGTGTACTTTATCTGGCTATTAGCATTTGAATTAATTGCTGTAGGCATACATTTACTGAGCTGAACTATTAGTAAAAGTTTTTTCCTCCTCGCTCATTTCTGTTTTGCAAACGCTCAGGCCACACAAGGACCCTGCAACACCCCCAAACCCGGCATGCTGGACTTTGTGAACAAAGCCAAATGGGACGCATGGAAGAGTCTGGGCTCCGTGTCGCAGGTGACGGCAACATCCATGAGTTCTGTCTTTTATTTTCAACTAAAGAGTAAGACCAAATTAAAGTTGCTTGGCCCAATTTTGGATCAGCTTTTCATGTATTACTACAGATTTAAATGTGTGATTATTTACACAACCAATTATTTTATTGATAATGTAAAAAACTGGGTTACACTTTATTGTAAGGTGATGTAGTTACGTTGTACTTAAATATGTACTGATTAATATTAAAATCAACTACTTATTGTAGAGTTATGATTGGGGTTAGTTGCTTGTTATTATGCATCATTTACTGTTATTACTATAGTAGGTACATAGGTAATGTGTAAATACGTCACATTAAAATTGTTCTGGATTATTAAAAAATTGTAATATTTTAAAAAGCTTTTATCTGTATCTTTTTTTTTTTAATCTATTTTGGTAATTTTTTTATAAAAACCTTTCTATTTAATTTTGGTAACTTTTTTTTTAGCTTTTCAAAAATATTTCTATTTATCTTTAATTTTTGTAATTTTTATCAGATTGAAAGTGTGTGTGTATCTACAAAAAGTGTCTGAAATTAAATAGAAATGTGTTTATAAATAGTGACCAAAATTTAGGATAAATAGAAATATTTTTAAAAGCTTTTTAAAAATGAGCATAGCACTTAAAAATCCATACTAATTTTAACTAAGACTATTATAATATCACTGCTGATCCTTTTATTGACTTGCACTTCATTGCTCTTTAGGAGTGTGTATACGAGTTACATTTAAATGAATACAAAATATTCATGATAATTCTGTTTTGATAATTTTATTACTTCATATATATATATACACATTTATAAGTGTATATATGTGTCTATATCTTTAATGTTGGTCAGGGAAATGAGGTTCAGGCATGGATCTGATCTCGCTGCAGACCTCTAAATAAGGCTGCGCACGTGAACAGCTCGATCATGTGATCCTCGTGTGCTTCATGTGTCAGGAGGAGGCCAGGCAGCAGTACGTGGATCTCATCGAGTCTCTGGTGGGATCAGAAGCTCCTGCAGTGGCGGCGCAGACGACCGGGAGCTCGAAGGCCTTCCAGACCCTGCTGGTCACCACAGAGGACAACATCACCACCATACGCCTCAACAGACCTGGGAAGAAAAACGCCATCACTGCAGAGGTCAGGAGAAAACTCACTTTTTCTAATACATCAGTTGTCTGAGGACAATGGTCATATTACACATGAATAATTGACTGAAGACTGCAACGATTGACCAATCAAAAGTATTCCAGAGAGTCGTGTAATAATGAGATTTTAACATTACTATCTACTATTGTTGTCATTAGGTTAGCAGTGTTGTTTTGAGATTATTGATATGCTATTTTGGTTTTTATTCATATTTTTATATTTTGTGTTTTGATTTGAATTAAAATGTTAGTAATTTTGTCTGTGTAGCTTTTATTAATTTATTTATTTTAGTACATCAAGTTAAACTAAATGAAAATTGATTTCAGTTTATTTTATCACACAAAATGTTAGCAGTGTTGTTTTGATATTTTCCATATACTATTGTAGTATTTATTCATATTTTAATTAATTAAGCTTTTAGTTTTATTTATTTTTTCATTCAAATTTTAGTTTTAAGTTTTGTCATTTTTTTTATTTTTTATTTATTTTCGTATTTTTATTCAAATTTTATTTTTATTTCAGGAACTTTAATTTCAGTTAGTCTCATTTTAATTGAATTGTTTACTTATATTTGTTGTATTCCAGCTTATTTTTTTGCGGTTTTACTCAACAGAAACAACACTGGTGCTTAGACGTTTGTATAAATAAGTTGACAATGTTTGTTTTTGCCTCCTATAGATGTACAACGAGCTGATTGAAGCTTTGGATCTTGCTGGAAAAGACGATTCTGTTATTACCGTGATGACAGGTGAAGTACTCTGCTTCACTTTCACACATCCTCATTAGATTCAGCGTTTGCAGATCCTTTCTCACCCTCCTCTCTCTGACTCTAAAGGTAATGGGGATTATTACTGCAGCGGAAACGACCTGAACAACTTTACGAAGATCCCTGAGGGTGGAGTGGAGGACCTGGCTAAACAATCTGGGGAGTTGCTGAAGTGAAGTCTATTTCGTTTTATTGGAAACTGAAACTAGTTTATAATCCGTTTTAGCTCTAGATTTATGGACACGTGTGCTTGTGTTGTTTTAGGCGGTACGTGAAGGCGTACATTGACTTCCCCAAACCTCTGATTGGAGTGATAAACGGGCCGGCGGTGGGTGTATCCGTCACCCTGCTGGGACTGTTTGATGTTGTTTATGCCACAGACAGGGTGAGCTGATTTTCGTCAGTACATCAATAATGTCCGTCTGTTTAACTGTATCTATATATCTAACTGTATTTTGGCTCCCACCTCCTCATTTGTTGTGTGTTTAGGCGACGTTTCACACACCCTTCAGTCAGTTGGGTCAGAGTCCGGAGGGCTGCTCTTCATATCTGTTCCCCAAAATAATGGGCACAGCAAAGGTATGGATATCCACACGAAGAAAACTTGAGATTAATCGGTTGGCTACTAAAAATGTTGTTTGAATCAACTGACAGCACAGCACTGATGTACACACACAGGGCTGCATGATTTGGGGGAAAACGTGATTGAAATTGTTCTGGCAAAAAGCGGAGAACTAAAAACTAAACTACTTTTTTTTTTTTTTTTTTAAATTGCAGAGAGAAAAAAAGCTCTAGATTTGTTGTGCTTTTTTATAGGGCTACAAAAGTTGGCAAATATGTTATGATTCATATGACTATAATATTACTAAATAAAATAAACAAAATAAGAAATATTTGTGTAGTTTATCTTTTAATTGTAATATATATATATATATATATATATACACACAGGTAAAACTAGAACTAGGAAAAATTAGAATATTGTGCAAAAGTTCATTTATTTCAGTAATTCAACTTAAAAGCTGAAACTAATATATTATACATTATATATACTCATTACATGCAAATTGAGATATGTCAAGCCTTTATTTGTTATAATTTGATGATTATGGCTTACAGATATGAAAACCTTTTCACAGAATTCTAATTTTGACATTAAGCTGTTAGCCATAATCATCAACATTATAACAAATAAAGGCTTGAAATATCTCACTTTGCATGTAATGAGTCTATAAAATATATTAGTTTCACCTTTTAAGTTGAATTACTGAAATAAATCAACTTTTGCACAATATTCTAATTTTTCGAGTTTCACCTGTGTGTGTGTGTATAAATATAATATATTTTTTTTAATAATAATTTTATTTTATTCCACAACTGTAAAATTAAAATACTAATACTTATGGGTGTTTCCAGGTTTATTTGTTCGATTCAAAGTTTTTTGGAATCGAATCCCGTCAAAACGATCTCAGGAATAATACAAGATTTCACTCGTTAATTAATTTTTTTTTTCACCTGACACAAAGCCTTAATAAAACAACACACTTTTAGCATGACTGTCTAATTTAGCGATGACTTGATGAATAGCTGTCAACGTTGCTGCCTACCTGTTGCCCATACCCAATTATACTGAGGGAAAAGTCACGAAATTCTTAAAATTTTTTAAAAAGTTAAAGATACTAAAAATGAATTCAATACATACATCTGGAATGGAGACGTGCATAATTACAAACTAAAATCACTATGACTCTTATCCGTTTCTAAAGTAAGCTACAGTTAGGATAATGCACTCAACTTCCATGCACTATATAGGGATTAGTAACAAGTGAGTGATTTGGGACACAGTTTTCTGTATGACTCCTCTGTGTCCTTTCTCTCCAGGCTAGTGAGATGCTGTTGTTTAATAAGAAGCTGACGGCCACACAGGCCTGTGAAGTGGGTCTGGTGACTGAGGTCTTTCCTGAAAGCTCCTTCCAGAGCGAAGTGTGGACCAGACTGAAGGCCTACGCCAAACTGCCCAAGAACGTAAGTGCTCAGACTGCTGGATATACGATATAAGGTACAACGGGGATAAAGGAGCACCAGTCTTTGATTTTATTCTCCTTTAAACCACTAGAAGGCACAAAAACCTGCCCCAGCACTTCCCAAAACATCTGCTTTCCAATAAATAAGATATCAATTGCCCATTTAAATCTTATCCAGGGTCTAGCCAGATTGTCATCCTTCATTTTAATCCTTGAATCAACCCTTTTTGCTCTCATAGTATACAATAATGGGACGTGATCAGAAATATCCACCTGTAGAATCTCAAAATCGCTAACATAGTTCACTGGATATGATGAAGTAATCGATCACACTCCCATTTACAAAGTGTATCGACCAAACATATTACCAAACATACTCGACCAAACATATTCGACCAACATATTAACAGCCTTATCTTTTGATTTTTCTATTTCATTCAAAATAATCATTCGTGTAATATCTACCACATGCTATATATTCAGAATCAGTGTAGTCGCAGTTATTGCCTGAGATCATTAATTGTACATATGTCACAATTAAGTGGACATTTGTCTGATCCTTGATGTGATCACGGACAACAGTGCAAAGGTGATTCTGTGCTCATGTAATCTAATATTTGATGTTTTTGAAGAATCAATAAAATCATTGAATATGTTTAGAAGCAAAGGTCTTATTAACTATGTTTTAGTTTTGTTCAAGGTAATTATTAAAGATGCAGTTTTTCAATAACGGACGAATATGTAAAGTGTGGTATTTGGGGTAAAAGGCACATTAATTAATAATAATAAGCAGCTGGCTGACTTTCCATGTGTTGACATGGTTAGATTCAGATGGCATATGTCAAATTATTATAAAATGATAAAATATTATATAATCATATAATAAAATATACTTATTTGTTACCACTGTAAATGTATATTAAATTATGGGATCTCCTTCAACGCTTTCAGAATCTTCACCTTTAAAAAAAAAAAAAAATGTTTTTGTATTTTTTAAAATGAACATACTTGTCACAAAAGTACAGTGAGGTGAGTTGCAGTTTTATTAAATACAAACTTGACTTGAACTAAACTTTTAACATGAAATCAACATGAACATGAACATAAACCTGGACTTAAACCCACCAAACAGTGCTAACAGGGACAATACTAGACAAGAGACCAATGAAACTTTTCACACAAAATCTGTTTTTGGAGCAACAAAACTGCAATCAGTGTTTTTGGACAATGAAATCAACATAAACCTGGACTTGACTTGACAAACAGTGGGAAGGAACGGGGACAAAACTAGACAAGAGACCAATGAAACATTTCACACAAAATCTGTTGCTCCATCAACGTCCAATACAAACATATATATTTTCTCCAATCATACACTATGGGAGTAGATTGGTGTGCCTTTAGATCTGTTGTTAAAAAAAGACTTATCATTCTCAGGTAAAATGATCATGCTGGATCTAAATTAAATTTGATCAAAAAGGCAATACATTTCACTTGAATTGTAAAACACTGCAGTCACATGTCTGCGCTCATCATGGTCCTGTTCTCGCACCCCTTCAGTCTCTGGCTCTGTCGAAGCAGCTGATCCGCGGAGTGGAGAAAGACAAACTTTACGCCGTGAACGACGCAGAAGTGGAGAGGCTGGTGGAGCGCTGGCTCTCAGATGAATGCATGCAGGCCATCATGGCCTTCTTCCAGGCCAAGTCTAAACTTTGAGGAGAGGAACACACACAGCCTATCCAGGAGATTCTGCTGTTAATCTGACATACAACATAAAGACTAGCCAACTAATCTAAACAGTGTGTTGTCCAAAATTATTGGATGACATTTTTATAAGACATTTTTATTAATTTCTGTCATATCACTTTAACTTAAAAACATGTAATAAACAGTACTTCATTTTCTGTACCACCGGATGTGCTCTTAGTAGGTTGTAACAGTCAGTGCCTTACTAATGTGAATGCATTTGTAAAAATAGTCACACTTTATATTACGTGGCCTGCTATGTGCCATCATTAAATACAAAACCATGGATTTATAAAAGGGTATTAATTGTTTGGTTTTTTTCCACACATTTATTGCTAATGAAAAGGGTTTAGTGTAATGTTAATTTAATGTAGGTACTTTAATTGCAATTACAATGCACCTGAATTATGTGAATAATAAGTATATTGTATGCATGGGCGTCGGAAGCAAAAAAAAAAATGTGGGTGGGTCACTTACAGTCTATGGTGGGTCATCCTTCAGATTTTTTTTTTTTTTTGATTTTTTTTTTTTTTACTGGAGTAGTTCCAAATACCTTATCTAATCTCTATGCAAAAATTAGTTTGTGAATGTGTGAGAGTCCAAATAAAAACGAGCACAAATCCGTCTATGCGTGCATCTCTCAGAAATCAGAGCTTGGCAAGTAATATCAACTCAAATACATCCAAAACTGGCCCGCCAGCAAAAATATATGGCCCGCGCCGCCGCCTGAAAAAGCTCTCAAAGACATTTAAATTCAAAAAAAGTATGTGGCTCGCTAGACAGACCTGTAAAATAACCGTCATGAAATGTCTGTTTTTATATTAAATGCGTCTCTATAGCACGCGTTGTGTTTATCGTGCAATTTAAACGCGAAACTTAGTTTTTACGTGCATATGATTGTTTTACGCGTGATTTGATGCGCACTTTATTGTGTGTAATATACACGCACCCGCACCACTACTAACCAATGTTTTAACCAAAAACAGGCCTATCAGTAATAGCTACAGTGGCGTAGATCGTAGAGCGCATAGTTCTTGAAAGAGCGATTTATGTGCTCGAGTTCGAGTCTGGCTTTTGCCGAACATGAGATGTAAAAACATTGTCTCTAGCGTTATATTTTGCCAATTAACTTAAATCGAAACCATTATATGGGTTTTTGCCTTCATAAAACAGCACAAGACTTTAAGAATAGGCATTCTGTGTGCACTTTGCTCACGCGATCCTTCCCGACCGACATATCAATCAAACCCTGATTCGGCGGAGCACTCCACCTGATGAAACACTTAGAAGCTTCATTTAGCCTTTGTCACGTGACTGTGGGTGTTTTGAATCACGCTTCGGATCAGTGTTTCGAATCAAGAAGAAAGGAAAGTGCTAAGAGAAGCAGTATGGAGTGAAGGGAAGAAATTAACATTGAAGAATATATTAGAGTCAAACATAGGAAGTAGTACAGTTGATGTGTTGTTCCAGTTTCTGAATAATACAGGTTTAATAAAGAGATTGTAATATATAGGATTAAGTAAGGAAAGCTAATTTGAGAAGCGGGAGTTAAAGGGAGGTGGGGCGGATACTGGAGGAGCTGAACACGCAGCGCCAGTGGTTTTTTTTTTTTTTTTTTTTTTTTTTTAGGGGTGGGGAAGGATAGAAATCAAATGTTAATTAATATAGGAAGTGGTTCTGATCCAAGCTACCAGATGATGGCAGTAATGCACTGATAAGTGCGGTTGCCAATAAAACAAAAGAAGAAGAAGAAGTGTTTCGAATCATTTTTGCTTCGGGATCTCGCAAAGCTTCGGAACGTCTGTTTCGCGTCAGCCATCCCTAGTTGCTACTGTTATATCTTTTTTGCAGGTAAGATTACTTGTGTCTATTATAAGTCAAATGGGTCCACGAACAGTGATGTTTAGTATTTGAGTATTTAGGATTTATGTTAAGTAACGTAAGTTTTGAGCACGAAATTGTTATCACCCGTGGATAGAGCGTGATCAGAAACAATGCGGCAATGAAACTTCGTATGTGAAACGATAATTGGTATTATGCAATGGAGATAGAAAGACAGTATGCACAGTACTGTTATTTAGAGCGAGGTTGTGTGATATTGATGGGTAAATAATAGTTTAAGTGACGCGAGTTCAGTAACACACGTGGAGTTCGCGGGTGTCCGCCATTTTGCGCAAGTTGCATGCAGCGGGGACATTAGAGTTAAAGGGCAACTCCACCCATTTGCATTAATCTTTCCATTGTAGAAACCCAGTGGTTTCACGACGCGTCATCAAACCGGAAGTCGGCCATTTTGGAGGCACTCCGCATCACAATAAGCATAGGCACTGAGCTATATCTCGAACGTCGTCAAGGAAAATGTTTAATTATTGCCGTGTTTCAGGTTGTACCAATAGGAAAAACCGAGAAAAACATTTGGAATATTATCGACTTCCAAAATTTATTAAAAACCAAGGAGAGGAATGCCAGAAGTTATCAGAGGAAAGGAGGCGCTTGTGGTTGGCAAAGCGCAACAGAACACAGATTTATTAAAGAAAAAAGACTTTTATCAGGACACTTATACACTTTACACTACTATAAATTATACAGTGTAATATAGTGCAATACACTAACTGTAAACACAATTTTGTATGTAACTTGAGTATAACTTTTATTTGTCAAAATAGCTTTACAAAAATATCACCAACTAAAAAACAAATGCCAAAAATATTTAAAGAACATATCACAATTACAGAAAAGGTGCACAATTCAATATATCAGGATATGCAACTGAAGGAAGAATCACCGGGTTGTCATGGATCTAAGAAGAGGGAGCTAACTCGTAGGGATCTACACCGCCAATAAATCGTAATTTCTCAAAATATCGCGCCTTTTCTTGTGGCCCAAGTCCTTCCCTATATGCCTTTGCATCTTGGACGCGTTTTGGTGAGCTTTTCAGTTGTTTAGACATGGCTATAATTCACTTAAAGTATCCAAAGCGCACAATACTCCATTGTGCTCCATTCAGTTGTTTACACCGAGTACCTCCAAAATGGCCGCGCATCCGGGTTACCGCCCAGAACGTGACGTCGGTGAAACCCCAAATGGTCGTGCAACACTTTCTCATTTTCCCCTGAGACGAGAGAAATCTGCTATTGACCTTTTTCACTTCCTCCTACAAAGGCACAAAATTCGTCATTTTATGTCATAGTAGGAGGAAGTATAAGAAAGGGGGATTTCTGGAAAAACTACAAGCACAAGATCTCACCCTTTCAAACCCACCCATAGGGGGTTGGACCTAATGTGCTAACAGACCTATCACAGATCAGTGCCAGTGCGTCTGATTTCACCGCAGAAATGTTTTGAAAATATGGACGAAGGTACTGAATACGCAGACGGATGCATTATGTCGGATTGGCATTACACATCTTTTTTGGAAGCTAAGCTATCAGGCTGTTGTCCTGTGGAGAAAGCTGAGTTATAGCTTTAGGTGTTACCATCCTCTTTTTCCCGGATATGTCCGGCCATCGATGTCCGGGATTCAGCTTTTGCTTTCTGTAGTTACTAGGGATGGGACGAAATATCGTTTGACGAAATATCGCGATACAAAACGTGACGAAACGCATCGAGGTAAAAAAAAATGTATCGCGAAATAAAGATAGATGCATGATTTGCGTAGTATATAAATAATTTAGTGTATTATATGCGTGTGTGTATGTATATGGGGTAGAGATACAGTCTATGGTGGCAGGAAGCAGGATAAAACTAAATGAAAAAAAAAAATTATATCCCGAACTGCGGCACGTCATCACATCGAGACAACGCATGTTGCAACAACAACACTGTCACTGCAGTCTACAGCGAGCTAACAAATATCAGCATTAGCACCAACTGCCTTGCCCCCAAAGGCCCAAACAGCCGACCATGGAGTCAAATGAGGTCGAAATTGAGGACGCTCCGCCTGGATACAAGTCATATGTCTGGCAGTATTTTGGCTTTCTCATTAAAATAGACAAAGACGGCAATAGAGTAACTGACAAGACTAAGACTGTGTGTAAGCTATGCAATGCTGTCATTCCGTACACCACATCCAACACTTCAAACATGAACCACCACCTTCAACGTCACCATAAAAATGTGAAGACGGCCCCGGAGAAAACGAACCTACCGAAGGGACAGCTGACCATGAAACAAGCGCTGACACCAACTCTACCTCCGTCAAGTCCGCGTGCAAAACAGATAACCAGGCTCATTGGCGAATTCATAGCGGACTATATGGCTCCATTTAACATGGTAGAGAACAGAAAATTCATCCAAATGTTCAAAAGTGCTGGAGCCTAAGTTTAAGATGCCATGTCGAGGACATTTTTCAGAGAAGGTAATCCCGGAAATTTACAATGAAACCAAACAAAGCGTGAAAGAGTGTCTAAAAAATGCCGACTGTGTCGCCCTGACCACCGACAGCTGGACCTCGCGTGCAACGCAGAGTTATGTTACCATCACGGCAGAAGTCATCAACGAGAAATGGGAGAAAAAAAGCTTTGTGTTGCAAACTCGTGAGCTGAGTGAAAGTCACACTGGTGTTAACATAGCTCACGTGTTGAGAAATGCACTGAGTGAGTGGGAGCTAACAAGGCCACAAACAACCATTGCTTGTGTTACAGACAACGCAAGCAATATGGACATTGCTGTGAGAGAGAGCGGTCTCCACCCTCACATCAAGTGCTTAGCGCATGTTGTGAATCTGGCCAGTAAGCGAGGCTTGGCTGTATCCCGCGTCGCGCGCCTTCTTGGTCGTGTGCGAAGAATAGTTACGTTCTTTCACAAGAGCACCACGGCCACCGCCGTCCTGACCAACAAGCAAACCCAGTTAGAGCTGCCTCGGCATAAACTCATTACCGATGTCCAGACCAGGTGGAATAGCACATACGATATGCTGGCGCGCTACCTGGAGCAACAAGCAGCTGTCTCAGCAGCGCTGAGCTGCCCAGGAATCCGAAGAAATGCGAGAGAAATTGACACTCTGGATAACGCTGATATATCAGACGTCGAGGACATAGTGAAACTGCTTAAGCCACTAAAGACAGCCACAACAGTTGTCTGTGATGAAAAAGAGCCTACTGTTTCACTAATAATGCCACTGAAGTTCATGATCGAGCAAAGCATGTCACCAGACGAAAATGACACACAGACCATCGCCAACATGAAAAGCGCTATTCTACTCGACATCTCGGACCGGTACTCTGGGGACTGTAATGACATGCTGCAGGAGTGCACTGCGCTTGACCCACGTTTCCGAAGCCTGTCCCATCTGAATGATGAACAACGCGAGTCCGTCTATGCCCGAATAGGTGAAAAAGCTTCAGCACTTCATGAGCAGCGCAACCAGGTAGGCTAACTTTTATTGAAAAAAAAAAAAAAAAATGAGGTGCCCTGCGCGCGTGTGTAACTCTGTATGTGTAGGCCAGAGCCCGAAAACTTATTTCTCCATATATTTTTTTTGTTTTGTTTTTTTTATTAGTCGATTAGAGAGAGAGAGAGACTGTGTGTGTGTGTGTGTGTGTGTGTCTGTCTGTCTGTCTGTGAGAGAGGGAGGGAGTAAAGGATTGAAAGACAGAAATGTTTGAGCTAGTTTTATTTTATTTTTTCAGACCAGTGATATAGATGAAAGAACCACTAGGGCCAGTGCTTCAACATCAGGGGCAGCAGCAGAGCAGGCCAGGGTCATGGTTGAGGAAGCACAGGGAGCAGAGCAGAGCCAGGAAGAGCCAGTGGAAGGAGAAAGGCAGATGCAGGACGTGACACAGCCACCCCCACCAAAAAAGACAGCGTTAGAAGATCTCCTTGGGAGCTCCTACACTACTGTTGTTGAGACAGTGCAGTCCAGCAGAGGGATTGAAATGGAGATACTCTCCTACAGAAATGGGATTCCTATCCCGCTCAACAGTAGTCCACTTGAGTGGTGGAAAGTTAATGCATATGCTTACCCCATACTTGCCCCCCTTGCAAAAGCCTACCTTTGCATTCCTGCTACATCAGTGCCGAGTGAGCGCGTCTTTTCCACAGCAGGAGACATTGTGTCCGCTCAAAGATCACTGATTACACCAGAACATGTTGATATGTTAGTTTTTTTGAAGAAGAACCAGTCCTAAGATAACTTAACCTACTGTAGGATTAGAGCAGCACTAAGAGAGTGTTCTTGTTTGTGTTTGGCCAGTTAGGCCTTGTGTTTCCCTGTTTGCAGCTGAAACAAAAATAAAAAAGTTGTTATACAGTAATATTTTTTTCTCTTGTTTTCCTTTTTTGATATCGTATCGTGACGTATCGTATCGTGACCCTGACATATCGAGGTGCATCGTATCGTGAGTTTAAGTGTATCGTCCCATCCCTAGTAGTTACAGCTTTTGTTTTAATCTAACTGAATTAATTCTGATTGCTGAATCTGAGTAGTGTTTACATGAACGCTAAACAAGTGATATGTGATGTGGGTTTTAACATTGCTAAGAAAATTCCCGCTCCTCCGTGAGAGATACAAGACCAGTAACTTACGTCTCAGTTGCCGCTCATCGGTAATCACGCCACCGGCCTCGCGTCGTTCTCCACACAGCTCTCACTTGTCCCGCTCGCCACAGTAAACATGGTGAATGACGACTGTACAACGCAAAAGCCGAATCCCGGGAATATTGGGCGATCTCGAAACGCATTTTCAGGCAGACGCATCACGGAGACTCACTAGCCTAGACTTGTTGTTTACCTACTGTGCGTTTACCGATAGGCGTGGCCTCCTAGGGCAGCGAAGCAAGTGCATTCTGGGAGTTGTTGTTTTTCATCCACATAAGGCAAAAATACATTTTCTGTCTTTTCTCAGTCTAGAAAGCTCTAAATTAAAAAATAATTCCACATTTCTTCTACATAAATTACCCATTTTAAATGCACATGAATCTTTCCAGAGGTGGAATGACCCTTTAAGGGAAACTCAAACGAAGTGATTTGCTCGATAATGGTATAAAAGAGTCGTGAAATGTGACGTAAGAGAGCGTTAAAGTGTAATGTGTTATTTAGAGTTAACAAGTCATGCTGAGAAAGAGAATGTATGTACTTTGGAAAGTGTTTAACAGACAAAGGGAAATGTATAGGTTCAAATTAAGTTTAACAAGGGTTATTTGTTATTTTTGATATGGGGCGAGATATACTGTATGTTCACATGTTTGTTTTGCAAACTGAAGTGAATGTTAATTTAGGTTAGTGAGCAACAGGGAATGTTATAATGAGCAATTATTAAATGTCATACTGAATGTGAGAATGCGCACAATATAGCAGTTAATGCAGAGACGAGCAGATAACACACCAAATTGAGATGCTCCACTGATGATTGACTGTGTACTGTTAAATCTGTCTTGCAGGATTGCATGAAAAGCCCCAATATAAAATGTGTTGCACCAGAAACGACATCTGCTCCTTTCTAGATGTGTAACATAGTTGTAGAAAATGAACTATTGATATCGGCGAATTACAATGTTTGATAAAGATGGGTTTGATTATTCTTTATGTTCCTGCAATTTTACTGTATCATTTGAGAAATAATATTTTAACATTAGACCACTTTTATTCTTTCAGTATACAGTCTGTAACAATCTGTTTCTAGCAGCAAAATGTCAGTGCCATTGTTTGGTCTCAAGATGCACATTAGTAATGTTTTTTAAAGGACCACACTTGCGGTCTTTGCACTTGTGTACTTGCACGATGTAGGTATTTCCTGCATTTAGCCCAAGTGTTCAAGTAGGTGTGATGACTAGATTACCCAATGGGACACACTTATAGTGACACAAAAATGCAAGTGTTTACAGAGCTTTATTTAAATTTTCAATTCAACAATGTCTGGTTAGTAGTCCCAATGTAACAAAAGGCATAATTAAAAAATATGGTGCTTTTAATTAAGTGATGCAAATGTGCAAAATACACATACCATACTCAACTTTGCAACATTATAATGACACTTTAACAATGTGTTTTTCTACCAAATTACATGTAAAATGTAGTTCATTTAACTTACAGTGGAATGTTTTCCTCATCATCTTGTGATTTCAGTGCATGTGAGTTCCCGCACCTAATGCATGATGGGATACGCTCCAATGCGGTATTCAAGATAGTGTACATTTAGTGCGTGTTCAGGGCGCTGCGCGGATAGTAACAATCGGTTTTGAGTGTAGTTCACCCAAAATGAAAATTACTGTATGCAAAAAAATTCAAGTTTATAGAGTTTTAGTGTCGGTGGTACTACATTAAACTACTGTATTATGTTGAGTATAATAAAGCAATGAGGGGATATTTGTCAGTCCTGATAATGCCAAATGTCCTATGTTACCAATAAAATTGCAAGCATATTCATCTAAATATAATTCTGTATTTCCAGCTTCAGAATCATGAATTCTTTTTATTCCGGTGTCTGTGGTCCTGTGCATTGATTTCCCAGCACCAAGTCCAAACCTTTTCATTTCCACTCCCAATGTAATACCAAATTTAGCATTTTAATCAACAGTAATTTCTTTGTTTACCTTTTACCATATGTCTTGCAGTATCGCAATATCATTCGATATTCGGAGTTCACTATTATGATGTATATCGAATCCTAACATGAGGGTATCGTTACACCCCTAGCCCAAAAGTTACTTAAATGCCCTAATTGAACAAAGGCCTATTCCTGGCTTAATCCAATCCCTGTCTGTGAAATCAGACCTTTGAGATTAATTAACTTAAAAGTTACTTTACTATAGGGCTGGGCGATATGGCCAAAAAAAATTATCACGATAATTTTTTTAATATCAGTCGATATCGATAATTATCACGATATATGTCAAATTTTTTTTTTTTTCAAGTTTAAAGGCAGATTTTTGCAACAAAGTTGTATAAACCAGAGTGTTAATTGTGTTTTTAAACTACTCTTTAAATTTATGTTCAGTAACAAAAACAGTATCTGTTTTTTTTTTTCTTATGTAACAACCACATTTTTATTTGGTAAAAAGTAATATTCTGACTGTTTGAGTTGCATTCAAATTAACCATTGGTCATTCAGTATCATGCATTTAGATCATGATAACCACAGATAAAACCAGGTATAGCATATAACTTAGCTCCTCACTATCATGGCATAACTTTGTTTTCTGTATTTTTTTAATGAAAAACAATAGCCTGACAGCTAAATACATTATTAAATACTGTACTTATATTCCATTAGTCATAATACATTGTCAACATTAATAATATTATACAATTCAATATGTATATCCCACATTTCATGGTGCAGTTAATATTACCAGGCTAACCTTACAGTAAATCCATGGTAGGCTAAATGGATTCGGTAATTTAGATTCTGACTGTATCGTTGCACGCAGTGTTTCTCCTTTTTGTCAGCGGTGTTTAATCTGCCTTTAAACTGGTTTAAACTTGACATTTGTGTTCTTCGCTGAACTCAAGTGCTTCTCACTGGATCTCGTGAGCAAAACGATCAGAGGCGCGTCTGCGTGAGCTCGCGCTCCGCTCAATGCACTGCCGTTTGGACTTTGAGCCGAGCGGATAAATGCTCCGCGCGGTTTAAATGAGTTTCGTTCCGCTTTTTTGACGCATAAATATTATCGAACATTTATCGACCATATCCTTGATATCGTTTTATCGAGGAAAATTATATCGCGATAATTATCGTTATCGTTTTATCGCCCAGCCCTACTTTACTAGATAGAAAAGGTGGGCATAAACATTTAAAATGTGTAAATTAGTATAAAAACTAACTCAGTATGTGTTTTCTTATTGATTTTGTCAGATCTCCTCCTTCAGTGATGCTCCTCCTCCTCCAGTGAAACTCCTCCTTCAGTGATGCTCCTCCTCCTCCAGTGAAACTCCTCCTTCAGTGAAGCTCCTCCTCCTCCAGTGAAACTCCTCCTTCAGTGAAGCTCCCCCCACTGCAGTTCACCAATAAACGGAATATTCCCCTCAGCTACAAGTGAAGACGAGCATCAGGAAGAGCTGACACAAACACAGAGTTTATTGAAGGACACTGAGAATATGAGATCCAGAACACTGCAGAATGAAACATACTGAAGAACAAAGAGGTTGGTGTTAATTCTTGATTCTGTATTAAAGGCACAGTATGTAAGTTTCGCCACTAGAAGTCGCTTATTCTAAACAAAGGCATAGCTTGATGATGCCGTGAATGAGCGTGGAATCATTGGAGGTCTCCAACCGACCACCGCTTCGTCAGCGCCACTATATTTACCAAACGTCCCGTTACCACTTCCGGGCCATGCCCCCTATTTGTCCAATAACCCACTGCATTTTTTTTAAGTTTTTCCGCAGTTCATTCAATATGCTGCAATTGGACGCGGTCCCACCGGCAATCTATTGAATGGGGATTTTGGTAGTGGTTTTTTTTTTGGGACATTTTAATTAAAGTTCCTGTCATGATAAAAACTATTTTACTGCACTCAGCTAGGACCTCTGAGTCCGTAGCACCAACACCGTCCCATAATTCCACCGTCCACGAACCCAATGGCATAAATGCTACGTGGGATCTCAATATCTCAGCTCTGGAAGGATCTAGAGCCTCCATTTTCGCACTCAGGTCTAAGTCTCATGGCCCTCTATCAGAATCCAGAGTTTCAAGAAGATTGGAGAAACTTATTTTTTCGCACCGAAAAAAAAAATGACAGGGGTACCACTGTCGTTTTTTTTTTTTTTGGAGTCGAAATTTTGAGTTTCTCTGATCTTCTTGAAACTCTGGATTCTGAGAGAGGGCCATGAGACTTAGACCTGAGTGCGAAAATGGAGGCTCTAGACCCTTCCAGAGCTGAGATATTGAGATATTTATAATGGCATAAATGCTACGTGGGATCTCAATATCTCAGCGTGGAAGGGTCTAGAGCCTCCATTTTTGCACTCAGGTCTAAGTCCCATGGCCCTCTATCAGAATCCAGATTTTCAAGAAGATTGGAGAAACTTATTCTTTCACACCAAAAAAAAAACCACAGGGGTACCACTGTCGTTTTTTTTTTGGGTCGAAATTTTGAGTTGCTCTGATATAGGCAAGGTCTGCTCTCTCCCACGCACGTTTGTTTAAGCCGATTGTTCGGCTTAAACAAAATGTGGGTTTCTAATATACTCCAGCGGCAAAGCACAGCTAAAGCCTTTAATATCTATTTATGAAGATATTCATTTCATTTTCAGCGAAATTCATGAGGTAGAAAATGTTATTATAGAGCCCATGAAAGCCAAAATGAGCCAATTGAGAAAGAAAGTTTGCATGTGCCTTCTGTGAGCACCGTCTCTCCAACCAAATGCCCAAAGTATTTTTTTCCAAAAGGAAGTCCACTGTTTTCATGACTATTGTCTTTTCACACAAAATGACTTGATTATCAGAAAACTTGATTAGCAAAGCCCAACTCATGCCATAGGTTGCAGTGTAGGGCTGCATTTTCATACCTGTAGGTCATTTTCTTTGTTCTGAAGCACGGATTAAATTTTTTACTCGTTCGGTTTGCTTTCACAAGGCAACATTTCAAAGCGTACCAAAATGTGTTTATGCAAGCCACGTGTATAAAACGATCCTCTTATTGGTCAGAGTTCAACCAAAGAGTATAGAAGAACAAGAAGCAAAACTCTAGGTGGCGCTTCAGGAGCGCGGCCGCCATTTTGGGATGAAAATTCCAACTGGAGTTACTGGACAACAGCATAGATAACAGTTTTTTGAGGTAGTTTTTTCTTCTAATGTTTCCCAAGCGGCAAAATTCTAATCTGAAAAATGAAGCCTACCCGGAAGTGGGAAAAACTGCAATACATCGAAAATCCGCTAGAGGTCGGTCCCAAAAGGGGGTGAATATCCATAGACCTCACATTAAAATGTCCGTTTTCACAGCATCAATTCATATGTTTACAGTTTGACTTTTATTGTATTTTTCGATAGGTTCTGAGTGCCTGACAACTGTGAGGTGAGTGAATTTTTTTCTGACTCGTTAGTTTAGATCGTATTTGGATATAAAATGTATGAAAAATAAGGGCGGTTAACTTTGATTGACAGCTGATAACGGGCTGCGCCGAGTGGAATTGGACGTCTTGGCCATGATCTGACACGACGCATCTCTGTATCCTTTCTGAAACATTTGTATTTCTGAACATTTGTATTTTGTATTTCTCAAGATTTTCTAATATGGCGCCGCCCATACCCCCCATAAACAGCCTCAAACCTGTTCTTCAGAAAGTCTATGAGTGACGTCACAGACGCTTTGTCCATTTTTTTTACAGTCTATGGTATTTCCGTTGTATGCAACTTTACACATTTACTACCTATATTAGTTACCAGCTCCATTAGGCCTGAAATATATTTTGTACGTTTTAATCCCCTGGATCATGCTACAAACATGATGATCATTGATGCGCTGTCTGTTATCCTATAACTTTAATTGCCACTTTGAACAGTGGCTGTTTTTTTTGTTTACATAGTTTTGTTTTAACGGTCATTAATATAAGATAATACTGCAAAATACTTGTGTTGCAGTGGAGCGTTCACTTTTTGTCAATATACGTTCTTTGGTTCAACCGTTTTCATTCCTCAAGATGGACCGAGATAATCGCTCCGCTGGCTTTGTTTATTCGAATGTAGCCTTGATTCCTGCTCTGACTGATAAATTAAATATTAAAAAATATATTACATTTATGAAGCAAGTTAGGCTTCGTCAAGACAGCATTCTTGCAACACGGAATCCTGCACACGTTTCTCTTATGAACTGTCTGAGATTCATTCTTTGGTAACACGTTACTTGAAGGGGTATGCATAAGACTAACATGACGTATGTTATGAATATGAAGGAAGGTTTATGCATGTTTGTGACAACTGTCATTAAGTGTCTTTTGCTCAGTTATGAAAGTTTTAATGCAAATATGACATTGTTTGAGATGTCTTTGTTATGACACCTTGACATTACCAAGCAGGGATGGAAATCAACTCTTTTGTCCACCGGCGGCCACTGTGGATTTCTAAATCGACCAGCCACTCGACGTGTTTACTAGCCACTTTCTTGTTTTTAACCGACAATGTGTAACTGGTAACACTTTACAATAAGGTTCATTAGTTAATGTATTTACTAACATGCACTAACCATGAGCAATACATTTGTTACTGCATTTGTTCATCTTTGTTAATGTTAGTTCATGAAAACACAGCTGTTCATTGTTTGTTCATGTTAGTTCACGGTGCATTAACTAATGTTAACAAGATTTTAATCAAGTATTAGTAAATGTTGAAAATAGCATTAACAAAGATTAACAAATGCTGTATATGTGCTATTCATTATTAGTTCATATTAACTAATGTAGTTAACTAATGTTAACTAACGAACCTTATTGTAAAGTGTTACCGTGTAACTGCATGTGAAAGTTAATGTGTATCTATGTGAGTTAATGTGTAACTGCATGTGAGTTAATGTGTAACTGTATGTGAGAGTTAATGTGTAACTGCATGTGAAAGTTAATGAGTAACTGCATGTGAAAGTTAATGTGTAACTGCATGTGAAAGTTATTTAGTAACTGCTGTGGAAGTTGATGTGTAACTGCAGTGAAAGTCTATGTGTAACTACAGGTGAAAGTCGGTGAGTAAAGTGCATGTTACTGTGATGAGTATCTGCAGATGAAGTTTATGAGTAGCTGCAAGTGGAAGTTAATGTGTAACTGCTGGTGAAAGTTGTTGAGTAAATGCTTGCGAAAGTCATATGTGTAACTGCGTGTGATAATTAATGTGTAACTGCAGGTGAAAGTACGAGTAACTTGAGGTGAAAGTATGAGTAACTTGCAAGCGAAGTTAACGTGTAACTGCAGTGAAATGGTGAGTAGCTGTACGTGAAGTTAATGAGTAACTTGCAAGCGAAGTTAATGAGTAGCTGCATGCGAAAGGCAACGAGTAACTGCAGTGAAAGTTAATGTGTAACTGCATGCGAAAGCTAATGTGTAACTGCAGTGAAAATCGATATGTAACTGCATCGGAAAATGTCCAGTAGCTGCATGCGAAAGGTAACGAGTAGCTGCATGTGAAAGATATGAGTACTTGCATGTGAAAGACGAGTAGCAAGCATGTGAAAGATAATGAGTAACTGCAAGCGAAGTTAACCGGTAACTGCATGTGAAAGTCTATGTGTAACTGCAGAGAAAGTTTATGTGGAACTGCATCTGAAAGTTGATGAGTAATTTGTAAGCGAAGTTTATGAGTAGCTGCATGTGAAATGATAAGTAACTGCACTGAAGTTAATGAGTAACTTGCAAGCGAAGTTAATGAGTAACGGGCATGCGAAAGGCGACGAGTAACTGCTTGTGAAAGTTGATGTGTAACTGCATGTGAAAGCTAATGTGTAACTGCAGTGAAAATCGATATGTAACTGCGTGAGAAAGTTGTTGAGTAATTGCAAGCGAAAGTTTACGAGTAGCTTCATGTGAAAGTTTACGAGTACCTGCCTGTGAAAAATGATGAGTACCTGCATGTGAAATGACGAGTAACAGCATGCGAACGATAATGAGTAACTGTATGTGAAAGTTAATGTGTAACTGCATGTGAAAGTTAATGAGTAACTTTATGGGAAAGTTAATGTGTAACTGTATGTGAAAGTTAATACTGGTAGGTAGGTTAATGTGTAACTATGTGAAAGTTAATACTGATAGGTTGGTTTGTGTAACTATGTGAAAGTTAATACTGATAGGTAGGTCAATGTGTAACTGCATGTGAAAGTTAATACTTGTAGGTAGGTATGTAGGTTAATGTGTAACTGCATGTGAAAGTTAATACTTGTAGGAAGGTAGGTAGGTTAATGTGTAACTGTATGTGAAAGTTAATACTTGTAGGTAGGTAGGTAGGTTAATGTGTAACTGCATGTGAAAGTTAATACTTGTAGGTAGGTAGGTAGGTTAATGTGTAACTGCATGTGAAAGTTAATACTTGTAGGTAGGTAGGTAGGTTAATGTGTAACTGTATGTGAAAGTTAATACTGGTAGGTTGGTTAATGTGTAACTGCATGTGAAAGTTAATACTGGTAGGTAGGTTAATGTGTAACTGCATGTGAAAGTATACTGGTAGGTAGGTTAATGTGTAACTGTATGTGAAAGTTAATACTGGTAGGTAGGTAGGTTAATGTGTAACTGTATGTGAAAGTTAATACTGGTAGGTAGGTAGGTTAATGTGTAACTGCATGTGAAAGTTAATACTTGTAGGTAGGTAAATGTGTAACTGTATGTGAAAGTTAATACTGGTAGGTAGGTAAATGTGTAACTGTATGTGAAAGTTAATACTGGTAGGTAGGTTAATGTGTAACTGTATGTGAAAGTTAATACTGGTAGGTAGGTAGGTTGGTTAATGTGTAACTGTATGTGAAAGTTAATACTTGTAGGTAGGTAGGTTAATGTGTAACTGTATGTGAAAGTTAATACTTATAGGTAGGTAGGTTGGTTAATGTGTAACTGTATGTGAAAGTTAATACTGGTAGGTAGGTAGGTTGGTTAATGTGTAACTGCATGTGAAAGTTAATACTTGTAGGTAGGTAGGTTGGTTAATGTGTAACTGCATGTGAAAGTTAATACTGGTAGGTTGGTTAATGTGTAACTGTATGTGAAAGTTAATACTGGTAGGTAGGTTAATGTGTAACTGTATGTGAAAGTTAATACTGGTAGGTAGGTAGGTTGGTTAATGTGTAACTGCATGTGAAAGTTAATACTGGTAGGTTGGTTAATGTGTAACTGCATGTGAAAGTTAATACTGGTAGGTTGGTTAATGTGTAACTGTATGTGAAAGTTAATACTGGTAGGTTGGTTTATGTGTAACTATGTGAAAGTTAATACTGGTTGCTAGGTATGTTTGTTAATGTGTAACGTGGGATCACATTATAAAATAAATGTTTTTCTCCAAAACACGTTGGCCACAATTGCTCATACCCTTTTATTAAATACCTTTTTGCAATCTCTTTTTGCCAAGATAACTGCTCTGAGTTTTCTGTTATAATGCCTGATGTGTTTGCACAACACCTGACCTGAGATCAGAGACCATTCCTCCATACAGACTCTCCAGATCCTTCAGATTCCCAGATCCATGTTTGTGCTTCTCTTCAGTTCGGACCACTCATTTTCTATAGGGTTCTGGGACGGTCATGGCAGAAGCTTCATTTTGTGCTCCCTAACAAATTTTTGTGTTGATTTTGATGTTTGTCTTGGATCGTTGTCCAGATGGCAGATCCAACCATGGCCCATAATAAGATTTCTAGCAGAAGGTGTTAGGTTTTGATTTTTTATCTGTTGATGTTTAATAGAATCCACAATGCCATGTATCTGAATAAGAAGTCCAGGACCTCCTGCAGAAAAATAGGTCCCCAACATTAAAGATCCAATGGTTTATTAAATTGTACACATGGGGTACTTTTTATCCTCATGTCCACCAAACTATCTAGTGTGCTTACTGCCAAAAAGCTCTTTTTTTAGTCTCATCTGACCACAGAACCCTGTGCCGTTTGAAGATCCAATCGTGTCTGACACCTGAATATGCTAGAGTTTGTTTTTGGAGGAGGATCTTTCTTGAAACCCTCTCAAACAACATGTGGGGTTGTTTGATAATTTTTTTTATTTAATACTGGTAGGTAGGTAGGTAGGTTAATGTGTAACTGCATGTGAAAGTTAATACTGGTAGGTAGGTAAGGCAAGTTTATTTATATAGCATATTTCATACACAATGGCAATTCAAAGTGCTTTACATAGAAAAAATTAAATAATCAAAAGTAATCAGAATAATTAGAACAGTTTAGAATAAAACATGAAAAATAAAAATTATTATAAAAACAAAATACAGTAAATAATTAAAACAATTTAGAATCAAAAATAAAACGTAGTACGCAGTAACAGTCGGACGAACAGTGGCAAAATGCACAGCTAAACAGATGTGTTTTGAGCCTGGATTTAAATGTGACTACTGTAAGAGCTCACCTGATCTCTTCTGGAAGCTGGTTCCAGTGGCGGCTGTTGGCATAATAGCTAAAAGCAGACTCTCCATGCTTAGAGTGAACCCTTGGT